TGTTGTCCTCCACTCCCACTCAGTGTTTTCAGAGAGTGAATGTCCTATGTAGCCATGTTGATTTCTTTATCTGATGCCTTTTTTTTTCCTCTTAAGTATATTTACCATTTTAGTGTGAGAACTGTATTTAAATTATAACCTCTAGTCTTTTTTTTTTGAGACAGGATTTTGTCCTGTTGCCCAGCCTGGAGTGCAATGGCCCGATCATGGCTCACTGCAGCCTCAACCTCCTAGGCTCAAGTGATCCTCCTGTCTCAGCCTCCTGAGTAACTGGGACTGTCAGTGCATGCCATAATGCCTGTCTGATTTATTTTTTTAGAGACAGGCCTTGCTGTGTTGCCCAGGGTGGTCTTGAATTCCTGACCTCAAGCCGTCCTCCTGCCTCAGTCCCCCAAGGTGCTAGTATTATAGGCATGAACCACAGAACTCGGCCATAACCTCTAGTCTTTAAGTCAGAGGAAATAATTATATATGAAAGATGTTTGGGTGTGATAAGGCAATTGATTAGGAATTTGAAGTAGCAAACCTTGGGTTTGTATGGGTCAGTGCTTCTCAAACTTAATGTGTATACACATCTCCTGGGGATCTTTTAAAAATGCAGATTCTGATTCAGGTCTGGGGTGGGACCCAAAATGCATTTTTAATGAGTTCCTGTAGTGGCAAGGCCCTAGATAAGATTTAAGACCCTAATACTCTAGGTCCTAAAGCAGGGACTTCTGGTAGGCAAGATCACTAGTCTGTAGTTGATGGTCTAAAAGGATTCAGACAAAGGAAAGGTGCTGAGGAACGTGAAGACAAACAGATGTGGAGTTCTAAAGATTAAAAAAAAAAAAAAAAAAGTAGCTAGTGAATGGTACTTGGAGTGGGAAAGAATCCAGTCTCTGTCACTCATTAGCTGTTACTTTTACAGACTGACTGCCCCAAGTCTTGGTTTCCTTTTGTTAGGATACAGTAATAGCAGCCACTTCTTAGGATTTGGTGAAGACTGTTTACCTAAAGTGCTTCTAACACAGTGTTTGGCACATCACATGCTAGACGTTCAGTAAGTTGTTAGAAGCTTAACTGAACCTGGTCCAGATTGCAGAACAGATGAATGATCATGAACTGTGAACACTTAAGGAAGTAGAGTTCGTTAGTGACCAACTTGGGTTGTCATGCCATTTTCTACTTAGGCAGGTTTATTGCTAGATTAGAGGATCACTACAGAGATAATTCCTAGCTTTGGTACAGGAATTTGACAAAGCCTCAAGATATCTTTGTAGGCACAGTATGGAACTTTCAAGTTAGTGGAGGTAGATGGGTTTGTGGCTGGTGAAACAGGTGTACCAACACAATAGTGAATACAAATTGATGTGAATGAGAAACGGGGTCTGTAGTGCTTACCATGTTACTTTTTTGACTCTTTCCAAAATACCTTTTAGAAGAAACCTTGGGTGAGGACAGTTACCAGAACCCATACTTGCCATCTTTGGTGTTTTCAGACACAAGCCTTTGGGGCAGCATCCCTTCTTGAGTATTTTTTTCTGGCATTCGGCTTTATGCTGTTTCTCCCTTGACAACTCTCAGAGCTCTGTGCTGTGCCACTTGAAACTCCCCTTTTCCAGGGTTGACAAACTGGCCTCCTTCTTGTTACTGGTGCTTTAGCTGAAGACTTTTCCTTTAAGATGCTGCTATGCCAAGTAGAGCCTACTCATTGTCCCAGGTCTCTGAAAATCTCAGTGTTTAACTCCAGGCCCAGTTATCACCATAGGTCTCTTTAGTGTCCACATGAATGACGTACCTAATATTTCAAACTTTCCACATTCTAAGTCAGCCATGTCTAGTTCCATACTCTGGACCTTGACATCCTCAGAGCTCTTAATCTTCACTGTCCCACCTCTTCGTGTTTATCTCATCTGCCACCCTCATTCTTCTTATCAGCCTATTGAAAACACTGATTTTCCATTTATTTGTTCCCAGTCTATTGACTTTGTTCTGTCTTTAGCCTATAATGCACGACCCATTCTTCATTTCCTTTGTTGCTGTTATCATCAACTCTGTTGTCCCATTTATTCCTTCATACCCCGTTGGGGGAACAAAATCATAGCTCTGGATGGCTCCAGTGTATCTGAGCTCTGCTGGAGAAAATCCTTCAAGTCCAACTTAGTTTTCTCTTTGCTAGGCGCTGGTTCCTACTGGTACTTTTCCTTAGTTTCCCTGGTCAGCCTTCTTTGCTATCCACACAGTAGCTCTGCAGATGGCCTTTTCCGTGTCTCTCAGTTACCCTTAAGATAAAATCAAGCTGGGTGCAGTGGCTCATGCCTGTAATCCTAGGACTTTGTGAGGCTGAGACAAGAGGATTGCTTGAGCTCAGGTGTTTGAGACCAGCCTGGGCAACATAGTGAGACCCCTACCTCTACTAAAAATTTTTTTTAAATCAACCGGATGTGGTAGATATTACGTGCCTGTAGTCCCAGCTATTCTAGAGGCTGAGATGGAAAGATTGCTTGAGCCCAGGAAGCTTGAGGTTGAAGTGAGCCACTGCACTTCAGCCTGGGGAACAGACCTAGGCCCTGTCTCAAAAAATCAAATGACAATAAGATAAAATGAAAACTATTTAACTTAGTTGTCAGGGTTCTTTGTGATTTGAATTGTTACCTCACTGTTCATCACCCTAACTTGTTTTTGTGAAATGTGGAAAAGGATGAGGCCCTCCGGGGCATTGGTACGACTTTTAAGATGGATGCATATGATCTGTTGATTTTTCACAGTGCCTCTTTGCCAGTCTTTGTAGCATTAGGGTGGAACCTTGAATAAAATCTTCGCATATTCTGCCTTCTCAGGGCATGGACTCTACAGACTTTGATTCTGGATTTCTTTCAGGCAGGAGTTTGTCAAGGAATTTATTTTTATTTTTATTTTTTAGACAAGAGTCTTGCTCTGTTGCCCAGGCTGGAGTGCAGTGGTACAATCTCAGCTCACTGCAACCTCTGCCTCCTGGGTTCAAGCAATCCTTGTGCCTCAGCTTCCCGAGCAGCTGGGATTATAGGCGTGCACCACCACGCCTGGCTAATTTTTGTATTTTTAGTAGAGATGGGGTTTCGCCATGTTGGGTAGGCTGGTTTCAAACTCCTGACCTCAGGTGAGCCACCTGCCTCAGCCTCCCAAAGTTCTGGGATTACAGGAGTGAGCCACCACACCCGGCCAAAGGATTTGAGAAGTTTGTCAAGGATTATTTCTGATGGTTACCAATCCAGCATTTTGAGACACTTAGTTTTAGCATACAGTTAAATGCTAGAGCTTTGAAAACTGCTTCAAAAGGCAGTTTCAAAGTTAGGAATATTTCCTTGAAAAGCAAAATGCTAAACAAACTCCTTGGTGGATGTGATGTGGCTCTACCCCACCCACATCCTACAACATACAGATTAGACTGGCTAGATATAAAAAGACTGACCAAACCAGGTGTTGGCCAGGTTGTAGAGGGACTGAAACTCTCATACTGCTGGTGGGAAGGTAAAATGATATATAGTTCCATCTACTTGGAAAAAGTATTATGGCAGTCTCTTTAAAAATTAAAGCTATTTTTACCACAAAATAATAACTAGATAAGTAGATATATCTATAGTTTCCCCTGTGTTAAATGTTAAGAATACACCTACCATGTCTTATCCAAAAGGGGAGGTCATATACCTAAAGGAGAGTGGGCTGGTCTGGTCCCATATTAACAGATTTTTGGGATCTTGTGCATATGTTCCATCAATGGCATGTGTGTCTGGTACCCTGAAAGCATGCGTTGATTTTAATTTCAGTCTTGAGAGGTTTATTCCTGCTTCTTGGGACTCCAGCTCCAGACAAGCATTCAAACTGACTTAGAGGCCTGGGAGGAAGTCAGCTCTGGGTGACCTGTGTTTCGTTTCATTGCTAGTCAGGGCTGAAGTGGGGCCAATCAGAGCCAGTTATTGAGCACTTATACATATTATTTTGGTTTTACCTCAGCCATTTTGAGGTGAATGTTCTCATTCTTCAGATGAAAAAAAAAACACAACTTCAAATTAAGTCTTCTTTCCTAGATTTAGCACACCCATAGCTCCATGCCAAAGCCCTCTTATTCCTCATCCTCATAGATAGAGGGTGTGCTTTGCCTAGGTTCCCCAAGGCCAAGTGTGGAAAACGTTGCTCTTTTTTTTTTATGTTTCGTGTTTAAATATTTATGATGTGCCGGGTGCTACTGTGCTGAGCTCTTTCCATCTGGTATCTGATTATTGAGCTGTCCTAACAATGTTATGAAATAGTTGATACTCCACCCTAGATGCCAGTGAGAAAATAGAGGGTCAGAGAAGCTAAGTGAGCTTCCCAGAGCTCACAGACATATATAAGAGGTGTCAGACACAGGACTTGATCCCAAGCTTGTCTTAAGTCAAAGAATGGGCTTACGCATGTCATTCTGCTTCCTTCCTAAACATTTCAAGTTCAGGGGTACATTGAAGAGAATCTGTATATGTTAGAAGTTTGCATAAGTGAACCTCTCACATGAAGTGGTATGCTTATGCTATACCAGATTTCTGGGGTGTGGCCTGAAATTCTATATTATAGCTTTAGAAAGGTGGGAATTCTTCTAATAAACAAATTGGCAACAGTAAAGATGAAGTATGGTTTGGGATTTCTGACTGTGCTGTAGGTGTATCCAGGCATTAATAGCAGCTGTGACCAGGGTCCCCAGTGACAGTTTCCCAAATGCTGGCATTGACCTTTAAGCCTGGGTAGTAGAACCCAGCAGTTTTGCTGCTACTGTAACAGCAGGAACTCTGGTCTTCAGTCAGCCTGTAACTTCCTCTAACAGGGTCCTTGTGGCCAGGTCTCAGAGCTGGATATATATCTGTTCATTATATTGTGTTTTGCTGGCATGCTTTTAGTGGTCTTGCCTTTGGTATCTCTTGTTGGGTGGCTGTAGGAGAAGAAAGAGGCTGTTGGCTGCAAAGAAAACTTAAGAGGTCATGAGGTTTCCTTTTTTGTCCTCCTAGTACTGAGCATGCTCCATAACCCACTGGGAAATGTCCTAGGAAAACCCCCCTTGAGCTTCCTGCCTCTGGATCCCCTTGGGTCTGACTTGGTGGACAAGTTTCCGGCACCCTCAGTTAGAGGATCACGCCTGGACACCCGGCCCATCCTGGACTCTCGATCTAGCAGCCCCTCTGACTCAGACACCAGTGGCTTCAGCTCTGGATCAGATCATCTCTCAGATTTGATTGTATGTAACTCATTCGGGAAAGGGGGGTTGTGGGTGGAGTTGCCTGTGTGTGTCCAAGGGGAAGGAGGGTAACAATATCTATGGGATGCCTGTGCCCTGGAATGCAGGCTGGGAGATGGGATGAGGGGAGGAGTGGAGACCATTGTGGACGTTTGTAGAGTTCTCATCCTTAACAGAAAAGAGGATGCTTTGAAGACCCATTGAGCAATACATTTCAGGACCTGAGCTCAGGACTCTCATTTTACTAGTTACTCCAAGAGTACTGGAAAACACTTAATTTCAAAAGTAAATGTGAGGGCCTTAGCAGTATTCTGTTTCTTTACCTAAACGGGGTGCTTGCTTTAGCCCTTAAACAGTGTCATTTATGTACTTTGATGTATGATATCTCAAAAGCAATAACTTAAAAAATTTTAAAGTAGTAATTAGCAGAGATAGGATTTTAATCCAGATCTGACTGACTGTGGCTCCTATATTTTTTCCACTGACCCATGTCAGCTTTTTTTAATTCACACCATGATGAATCTATGAAACATTGCCTCAGTTAATTTTTGCATTTCACGTTCCTTATCTACAGCCATGTATGATGTGTGTGGTCTTCATGCTAAGTGGAGTTGGCAAATGAATTAGAATAGGTAGGGGATATTATAGATAGAGTAGTACAGATAATATAGATAGGGGATAGAAGAAGTACATACAGGTGGGATTAGCAGTAAGAAATTACCCCAAAATAAGAATACAGTTTCAGATGCCTTATAAGCGGTTTTTTTTTTTTTTTTTTTCCGAATCTCCCGAGCTGAATGTGCAGTGAATAGAATGGCTTATTTTCCCACCTTCTTCTCTTCCCCATACCCAGGACTGGCAGCATTGGTTGTGATCGCCTGTCAGCCTGTCCTAGAATGTGGAAGTTGGTGTTCTCGCTGCCCATTGGTTTTATCTGTTAAGGCTGCTTTTCTAAAAGGACAGTCACATGCGGGTCTCTTTGCTTCTCTGGGCTGCAGTTACCTCTTCTGTAAAATGGGGTCAGATACAGTGCTGGTAGTTCTATGTTACTTAGATTGGACTCAGTCTTGAAAATTTATCTCATGACTGATTAATATTTGGGGATTTTAAAATATTCTGTCAACGAGTTATTCTGATAATGTGGTATCATTTCACACATGTAAATTAGAATTTAAAGGTTTGACACAGCTTATAGTGTTCTGATACATTTATGATACAATGCAGAGCTGTTATAGATAGCATTTTTGGCATTCGACTTTCTAGGAATCTGACCAAAGAAAACAAAAAATATGAAGAAGCTACATCTTAATTTTTGTTTATGGTTCTGAAAACTTGGAAAGTATATATGTAACAGGAAGAGTATGGGTCAGTGAGATGTACCTTGTTCCTTAAATAGAATATGATAAATGCATTTTAAATGGCTATAAAGACTGGCAATATGGAAAAATTGTTGAATGAGGAGAGAAGGAGAATTTGTTTAAATTATAGTATAACTAAAACTAATCAAAACTGCTCAGGAAGAAAGTCTGAAAGAATATATATCAAATGCTAAATGTCTGTTGGATGTTTTTAATAATTTCTATAATGTGATTATTACTTTATAACAAAACTGTCCTTTAAAACCCTGTCTTCCTTTTTCCTCCCCTAGTCAAGCCTTCGCATTTCCCCACCTCTGCCCTTCCTGTCTCTGACAGGGGGTGGTCCCAGGGACCCTTTAAAGATGGGGGTAGGGTCTCGGATGGACCAAGAGCAAGCTGCTCTTGCTGCAGTCACTCCCTCCCCAACCAGTGCTTCAAAGAGATGGCCAGGAGCTTCTGTGTGGCCGTCCTGGGACCTCCTCGAAGCTCCCAAAGACCCCTTCAGCATAGAGAGAGAGGCCAGGCTGCACCGACAAGCTGCAGGTGAGTGTGCCTTGAGCATGTGTGGGGCCTGAGGCCTCATTCTGGGAGCACAGAGGAAGTGACCTTAGTTCACACGCTTGTGAACTGTCTAGAGGAGGCTTGGTTGCACGGTGAAGTCTCCAGATCTGCAAAGAATTATCTTTCTGTGGAGTAAGTGCTACTGGGAACAAACTCAGGAACTTCTTGAGGCTGAGTGGAGAGGAAAGAGGCAGATAATCTGGCACATGCATGTGCCACAGCACAAGGGGCTGGCTCTGTCTCTCACTTGTGCCCTTCCATGGAGACTGGCTGTGTGCTGCTCTTGCTTTTAATTCTTCCATGGGTGGATGTCCTCAAGAGAAACTCTGGAAGGGATGTCCAGAATTTTGTCTACCCTCTCCACATTCTAATTCAAAGACAGTCAGACACAACTCATGCTGGAGCTTTCTTCCCCGAGGCTTTCTGATTGGTACACTCACAAATGCACTGGGGAAGGAGGGGTCCATTTGTCAACCTCTAAGGTAAGGAATGTCACCAGATGTCCTGGTCTCTTAGGAATCCTTACGGTTCTGACATTTAAATTATCTTAGGCTGGCCTTGGTGGCTCAGCACTTAAGCAGAGGCAGCAGGATGGTTTGAGCCCAGGAGTTGCCCAACCTGGGAAACATAGCGAGACCCCATCTCTATGTATTTTAAAAGGTTTAAAAAATAAATTATCTTAAGTATGTATTAAGTTTGTTTTTCATCTTTGTCTAGTACCGCTCCAGGGAGAAGTTCATTAACCACTGGCTCTTCTGAGGTCCTGAATTTGATGACTAAGTTAGTGTTAGTTTCTCCATTCCATTTGTTTCTGTGTATCTGTTTGCTCACAGAGTTGGGCTGGATCTCATTCTTCTCTGATAGTGCTGTGCCTTGTTCACCTAATGATTTTGGCAGCCCATCTTAGTAGTTTTTCTGGTGCCGTTGTTTTCATATGAAATGACATTACCATGCTTTTGGATGAGACCATTATATTCTGTTTTTGTCGTAAAAGATTGCTGACATTGCCCAGTTTCTTGCTGTAGCAACACCTTGGGCCTATTCCTTTTAGGAAGTGTCCTTCCACATCTTTGTCCTGAATGAAAATGATAGTTCCTTTCATTGGCTGTCTGCCTCTTTGCTGAAAGAGGAGGGTGAAATAAATGGGCAAGAACTAGCTAGTCCTCACTAAGGTCAGTCTCTGATTTGGAAAAGTACAAACAATGGGGACAGGATTGAAGACTGATTATCTTACCATGTTGACATCAAGGAAGGCCCATTGTCCATTTGGGTGCTATAAAGATGAGTCTGACTTGGAACAGTTGTGACATTCTTGTCTTACTGGGTTGCTAGTGCTGGTTTTTATTGGCAGTGTCCTAACTTCTGTGATTAATGAGTTCAGAACCAAGACAGGGAAACAGAATAGAATGTTTCTCATTTGAACATTGGGGAGAAGGCCCATTTGTACCAGTAAGCCTGTAAGATGTTGTATTGCTCTGTTTATTTTCAAGTAATTATGAATTAGTAGTACTGTAAGCAATAAGATAAAACTGCTTTGTGGTTAGCATATTAGTTGAATGTTTGAAAATAACATGGGGTGTAAATTTTTACCCTACACATCTGGTTTGGCATTCCTTTCCATTTTAGTGGGGACAGAATTAGCAAAGTAGGATTATCATACTTGACTGAGTGGATTGGTGAGACATAGGTTTCTTGCTTTTCGGAATAATCGTGGATATTCTCTCAGGCATCTGGGCAAGGATTGTGGCCAGTCAGGTTCTTACTGGACAAGTTCACCCCAGGGAAGAGTGGTGGCTTTGCTGATTTTCTAACCTCCCCTGTTTATCTCTTTGCCGTCTGCCAAAGCTGTGAATGAAGCCACCTGTACCTGGAGTGGCCAGCTTCCTCCCCGGAACTATAAGAACCCCATCTACTCTTGCAAGGTGTTTCTAGGAGGTGTTCCTTGGGATATTACAGAAGGTGAGATGTATCTAAGACCTCCTGCTTTAAGAGTAGAAGGGTGGGGCATGTCTTTGAGGAGCATGAAACTTGGAATTGAGGCCAGGGGCTGAATTCCCTACCTGAGTTTAGGGGTATTACATGAGTGTCTGAGGGGAGAGGTGCATTTCATATACCCCCATAGTGCTCCTATGTCAGGAGCTTATACCGGAGATCAGCATCCATTTCTGAGTTGTTTGTCAGTGGGGATGAGCCAGGGAGGAGAATGCTGGTGATTCTGTGTTTGCGTCTTTACTGGGAAGGATGGTTCCTCAGCTTCTGCCATTGTTTTCTGTCTCTTTGCAGCTGGATTAGTTAACACCTTCCGTGTTTTTGGCTCTTTGAGTGTGGAGTGGCCTGGTAAGGATGGCAAGCACCCCCGGTGTCCTCCCAAAGGTAATATGCCTAAAGGTAATAAAGACATGGTAGGAGCTTTTTTTTCCCTTCCCTAGAACATAACTGCACCTATGGGTGCTGGGATGTCACAGCTGCATGTTGGTAACATGGTGGGCACTCCAGGGCACAGACCTGTCATCTGTCGGCACTTTCTCTTCAACCTAACACGTCCCTCTATTTCTTCGGAGCTAATGTTCCATCTGTCCAGACTTACACAGCAGTGGGAGCTGCCTCTGAAACCCCTTCCTTGTACACTTCTGTCTAAACCTGAACCCAAGCAGCACCTTTCCTCTCGAAATAAGGCGTTTGAAAAGCTTTCCCTTGCCTGCCTGTCCTGCCCAGTTACGTTGTTGCCTGACCTAATTCTGAAGTCCCTTTGGAGTTGGCAGGAATGAGGACCAAGCATCTGATTCCTCACTGGTCTGAAATGAGATCCCCTCCCTGTAGAAAGGAGCAGCTGCTATTTTCACCCTGCTCCATCTTCATTGAACTGAACTAATGGTTTAAGTAGGCGTTTAAAGCAATAACTGCCATCCTTCCTGCCCCCAGGAAAGCCTGGCTCTGCTGACCTGAACATGCTGTGTGTTCTGGCATAGAGAGCTGTGGTAATGGTGGGATCTCTCTGTCTCAGCTTGCCTAGTCCTTTCCTTCACCAGGGTGGGAGGGAGGCCAACAACCCTGGGCATCTGCATAGCAAATGCTTCCACTCAACAAGACTTCTCAGGAGTAAAACAAAAATGTATCTTATACACAAGGCCTTCTTTCTTGGAAGAAACTCCCTGCTGCAAAGCCAAGGCTGAGGAGTGGCCACCTAAGGGATATTAATGCGATTTTTCCTCTCATTGGGAATAGGGTATGTGTATCTGGTCTTCGAACTGGAGAAGTCTGTCCGAGCCTTGCTTCAGGCTTGCTCTCATGACCCGCTGAGCCCAGATGGCCTGAGTGAATATTATTTCAAGATGTCCAGCCGAAGGATGCGCTGCAAGGAGGTGAGTTAGCATGATGTCCTTTCTAGATCAAGGTTCTTGGCATATTGAGGCACTGGATTTTCTTGGGGTAGGTGGATAGGCAGGCTGCAGGCAAGGAGTATTCCTGCTGAGGCAAGAAGGCTCTTCTTCTCCCACAATAAAATAGCAGTATCCTCTCAATTACATAAAAGAGAAAAGAAAGCAACCTTTGGGCCTTAATGGGGTATGTGCATGCACACCTGCGCATGCCTGCCCATGGTAATCAAACTGTCTCCCAGCCTTTACTCTACTCTTCTTTCTTGAAGCCAACACTTTAGTTTTAAACCTCTTGTCTTAGAATTGAAATTGAGAACAGCAGACTTCTCTACTTGTACTTAACTGATAAACCTACAGCTGTTTTTCCCTGGTCCTGCCCTTCCTGTCCCTTCTTACCTCCCAGTCTGTGGGGGTGAATTGCTCTTTAGCCCACACCCACCTGTGGGTCACTTCTTCCTTCTCATTCGGGGCTTTATTTAGTTTTGTGGGTTTTCCCCCATAAGATTCTCTTTTCCTACATCTTTTCTAATATCAGCCTTATGTATCCTTGGCAGCATGGGTCTCTAACGAGTTTATCTCACCTGGGGATCTCATTGCACATTCTTGGGCCTTATCCCAGACTTACTGAATCACTCTGGGTGGAATTTAAGAATCTCCAACTGAACAAAGATCCCCAGGTGGATCTAATGGATAGTGTTTGAGAATCACTTGTCAAAGCAAGTTTTGAGCTCCGGAATCAGTGTGGTGTTAAAATCAGATTCAAGAGCACACAACTTTTGTGACACAGGACTAGACATTTAATATCTCTGAAACTTTGTTTCCTCTTCTCTTCTATAAAATGAGAAACGAAAATGCCTGTTTTAGTAAAAAGATCAGTGATTGCCAGGGGTTTAGCATGAAGGGATGAATCAGTGAAACTATTCTGTATATGGTGGATACATGTCATTATACTTTGGTTCAAACCCATAGAATGTAAAACAGACACCAAGAGTGAACCCTGATGTAAACCATGGACTTTGGGTGGTGATGATGTGTCAGTATAAACAAATGTTCCACTCGCATGCGGGATCCTGGTAGTGGAGAAGTCACACAAGTGTGGGGGCAGAGAGTATTTGGGAAATCCCTGTACTTTCTGCTCGGATTTACTGTGAACCTTAAAGCTTCTCTAAAAACAATCTATAAGGTAAGAGGGGAAATGCCTATTTTATTGGGATGGTCACATTAGATTTAAAATAAATCCATGTAACAAAGCTGGCTCTTGTTCTGCGTTCTTGAGAGGGCAGGCTCGTCCTCTGGCTACCCACAGTGACCCACAACTTCTGTACCTTCTCTGCTTCCTTACTGTGTGGAGCTTGTGTAGTCATCTCACCTTAGTAAATGTTCTAGGACTTACTTAACATGCTCCTTCCTCCCCTCCTGCTTTCACAACCAGAGATGGCCATAAGCATATCACAGAGCCCCTTCCCTTCCTCAGTGCCCCTGTTGACACCATCCTGTCTCTCATTCCCTCCTCATCGCCTACAGGGATTTAATCTTTCTTTGATTCACTGGCTATAGGCTGATGCGGTTCTCCTTCCTCTCTGACTTTTTACTTTGCGTTCCCCTCCCCGCCAGCACCAGTATAGCCAATCTTTGACTCCCTCCTATCTTCTTTTCTAGTTCAGATAAATGACTCACTTTTGTGGCTCCTCTCATCTTTAGACCCAGATTTACCTTTCTAGCCTCATGTCCTACCTGAGCCCCACCTTCCTGTGGTACCCTCCTTCAGGATGTCTTGTAATCCCAAACTCTTTTGTGGGCAAAATGGGCTTTTTCATCTTCCAGTGAAATTGGCTCCCCTCTCGTAACTTCTGCCAGGTCCTCTCATCCCAAGACTGTGTAGGCCCAGCACCTTCCAGGCCTGATTCTTCCTTGCTTGCCCATCCTGCTTATGCCGTCTGAGTACTGCAGACTCTCTGTTGAAGAATCTCTTTGGTCTTGGCCTGTTCTCTGCTTATTGCCACCAGCCTTATCCAAGTCTTAATCACCTGTCCTTTGAAAGTACTGTTTTTGCCTCCTTGCTGGTTTCTGCCTCAGATCTCTTCCTGCTTCAAGACATATTTTTAGATCTTCACTTCGTTCTGGAGTCCTACACTTGCTCTGCCAGGTTTTGTTCCAGGTTCAGGAGATTCAGAGGCAAAGGACACGGTCAGCCCCAGCCCTTCAAGACTCCAGGGATCTTGTATGTGACTTTCTACCCAGCCTCTCTTCAGTCATTTCCACTGCTCTGGGCACAAACTCTCTGAAGCTTAGGTTGGGCCAGTAACCATCTCATATAAATATCATAAGCACTCCCATCCCTCTGTCCTTTAGGATCCTAGCCTTTAATTTCTCTGTGAGTCCTTCCTTTCTTGAGGACCTCAGATTATGCTCTTTTCATCAGTGTCCACGGCCCTTTGTTGGAACCTCACAGTTGGAAGTTGAAATAGAATGCTGGGCTCCTGGGTTTGGTCATGTGGTACTTTTTTGCTTACTCTCCAGCATGAGTGAGTACTCTGTCCGCTTGTACCATTCTGGACACATGGACTCAGTAAAATTCAACTCCAGGTGGGGTGGAGTAAGGGTGGTTTATTGGATGCCTGTGTGCCTGAGACTGGGCAACAACACCTTTTCACCCCTGTAAGGGCCTTAGCAGCCCAGCTTCAGTATCTCCAGAGCATGTGCCTTGCCATGCAAGCGCCTCTCTCTCTGTGGCTCTCTGCCAGGGCTGATACACCTTTGGGTGGTTTTCAGGTGCAGGTGATCCCCTGGGTATTAGCCGACAGTAACTTTGTCCGGAGCCCATCTCAGAGGCTTGACCCCAGCAGGACGGTGTTTGTCGGTGCTCTGCATGGAATGCTAAATGCTGAGGCCCTGGCAGCCATCTTGAACGACCTATTTGGTGGAGTGGTGTATGCTGGGATTGACACAGATAAGCACAAGTATCCCATTGGTAAGTGTCCCACTTCTGTGTGCTAAAGCTTGGTTGGCCCCTGGGAGTAGACCAAGATTGTGATAGTTCCCCATGGGAGTGAGGAGAGAGGCCTGACCCAGGTCTGCAGATCAGCATATACCAGCACCATAATATCTTTTTCTAGACAAGTCACGAGTACTGGCCCTTCTGTATCTAGCCCTCTACCCACCATCTCCCATGCAGTGGGAGAAAAAGCATTTGGAGACTACATAGAGGTGATAAGAAGTGAGAGTGAGGTGTAGGAACTTTGTTGGAAGCTTAGAGTTTACAGCCAAACCAGTTTGGAACAGACAACAGGTGTTCATGAAAAGGCTGCAACTCTCTGTACTTGCCCGGTTTCTTTTATTAAAAGTTCTTGAAAAGCTCTGGCATTATCTAAGGTCAGAGACCAGGTCAGGCTGGAGGAGGACTTTCTGAGTGAGTCGGGCAACAGAGTGTGGCCTGTGCTTCCCTAACTCAGAAGTCTGTGGGCTTAACCACTAGGTTTTGATCAGCTCCTCTGAGAAAGGAGGTCAATTCACCAGTCCTGGCAAAATGTCAATGATGGGGTATGGAGGTAGAGCAGAGCCTGAACTCTGTGATTAAGATGTGGCTAACCCACCTCCCCAAATGCTTAGTCTTCACACCCACACTGAATCTGGTCAGGAAGGAGCACCGTGTACTTACCAATGCTGTGCAGCAGATTGAGAACAGGGACTTCAGAAGCTACAGGAGCGGAGGAGGCACTTGGCAGGATGGGGCTTCTTCCAGCTCTCCTAATAGGTCTCCAGCGTGCCTCCAGGCTAGGAGAGGTTCAGTTCAACTGCTGGGCTTACCCTTCAGACAAGTGTTCTATCTGCATCTTGGCTTCCACTCTGAAACCTTTAACCTTACCTATGCTTCTACCTGCACTGAAGGAGTCCCGTCCCTGCCCTGCCCTGCCCTGCCATCTTGATCAGCAAATTCTTCCCCCATTCCTGAATGGTTTGTGCTAACATGATCTCCACTGTCAAATATGGTACGAATATGGTAGCCACCAGCTAAATGTGGCCCCATCGAGTTTCGGAAACATGGCTGTTGTCACATTTGGAAATAATATTTTTAACATACAGGGTTAAATAAATTTTTTTTTTTTTTTTGAGATGGAGTCTCACTGTGTTGCCATGCTGGAGTACTATGGTGTGATCTCGGCTCACTGCAGCCTCCGCCTCCTGGGTTCAAGTGATTCTCCTGCCTCAGCCTCCTGAGTAACTGGGACTACAGGCGTCTGCCACCACGCTCAGCTAATTTTTGTATTTTTAGTGGAGATAGGGTTTCACCATGTTGGCCAGGATGTTCTCCGTCTCTTGACCTCATGATCTGCCCACCTTGGCCTCCCAAAGTGCTGGGATTACAAGTGTGAGCCATCATGCATGGCCAATAAAATATATTATTAAAATTAATGTCACCACTTTAAAATGTCAATGTGATGACTAGAAAATTTAAAATTACATAAGGGCTGGCCGTGATGGCTTATGGCTATAATCCCAGCACTTCGGGAGGCCGAGGTGGGTGGATCGTTTGAGTCCATGAGTTCGAGACCAGCCTGGACAATATGGTGAAACCCTGGCTCTACAAAAAATACAAAAATTAGCCAGGCGTGGTGGCTCATGCCTGTAGTCCCAGCTACTTGGGAGGCTGAGGCAGGAGGATTGTTTGATTCCGGGATGCAGAGGTTGCAGTGAGCTGAGATCACGCCATTATACTCCAGCCTGGGTGACAGAGGGAGACCCTGTCTCAAAAAATAAAGTAACATCGTAGCTCACATTAGATTTCTGTTGGACAGCACTGGTATCATAAAGGGTTTCCTGCATTTTAAAAGAGTAGCATTTGGGAGAATTTGGTTAGAAGGGAAGCTTGTGTCTGTTGTCCTAGGATCTGGTCGTGTGACTTTCAATAACCAACGGAGTTACCTGAAAGCAGTCAGCGCTGCTTTTGTGGAGATCAAAACCACCAAGTTCACAAAGAAGGTGAGTTGGCTGGTTTATGCCCTTACTCTGGAGTGTATGAGAGGGGTTTGAGCAGTTACTACCCAGGGCAGGCCTGAGACCTGAAGCTGTGTTTGTGCTGGGTGTGTTTAGGGAAGTGAGCCAAACTCCAGAGAATTAACATTGAGGTTAGGGTTTGGGAGTGGGCTTGGTCTTTGTACACCCAGGAGGAAGGGAACTGGGACTGTTGAGCCTCTTTAGTGTGTAGGGTGCCTTCCCTCACTGTGGTATTTCTCTGGCATTGCTAAGTAGCCTGACTTCCCATTTTCCAACCTTTCGGGAATCCTCTGAACACTTGCTCATATTGCTAATTGATAGAGGGCTGAGGGTACAGTTTGCCGAGAGGACCAGGCATATTAAGGTGTGTGGTTGCCTGAATTCCAGAGGCATCCAGCCTGACTCTTCTTGGTGTAGGAGTCTGCTCTCTAGATCCCCGTTCTGTGCCTCAGGCCCATAATTCTCTGCAAGCCTCCTTTAAAACAGGCAAATAACCTGCATTCCGATATCCTGCATTCCTGTGTGTGGCCAATAATATGCACTTCTTCTATAGCCTGTTGAGCCTCCTGGTAAGAAGAGCCACTTCGTCATCTTATTTTGCTTTTGTGCAGGTTCAGATTGACCCCTACCTAGAAGATTCTCTGTGTCATATCTGCAGTTCTCAGCCTGGTCCTTTCTTCTGTCGAGATCAGGTGGGTCTGATGTCTGTGAAGTCCCTGCCCTCAATTAAAAATTGTTTGCTGGGCGTGGTGGTTCACACCTGTAATCCCAGCACTTTGGGAGGCTGAGGCGGGCGGATCCTGAGGTCAGGAGTTTGAGACCAGCCTGGCCAACATGGTGAAACCCCGTCTGTACTAAAAATACAAAAATTATCCTGGCATGTTGGTGTGTGCCTGTAATCCCAGCTACTCGGGAGGGTGAGGCAGGCGAATAGCTTGAACCCAGGAGGCGGAGGTTGCAGTGAGCCGAGATCACGCCACTGCACTTCAGTCTAGGGCAGAGCGAGACTCCGTGTCAAAAAAAAAAAAAAAAAAAAATTTTTTTTTACGCCAACTTCATGACATTGAATGTTGGAGTTCCGAGGTACCTTGTGTTGTCTGAGAGCATAGAGGAGGCAGCAGTAATGTTTGCTGAAGGTCAAACCAGGGACACACTTTAGATAGCTTTATCCAGAACTCTTAGGAAAATATGTTGAATTGAGTCTTTATACTTTGGCCTTTTTCTTGCCTGGGATGTTGCTATGCAGTATGCCACTATTGCTGAGAGGTGGTTTTATAGATGATAGAAGCCTGACTGGGTATGATCAGCAGTACGTAGAAGCCAGGCTCAGCTGCTCTAACCCTGAGGCCTTCTAAGCTGATTTTTTCTCTACTCAAGGGCTTCCTCCTCCTTTGCATCTGAACTTCTGGACAACTTTGATATTTGCACCTGGGCTGTACCCACAGGTGTCAGTGACAGGCAGAAAGCAGCGAGGTGGCTTTCTATTGAATGTTCCTGGGTGATGGAATGTGGATCTGGATGTGTTTGGCAGTGCTGCTCAAACCTTAATTACAGACACATCACCTGAGGATCTTAGATTCTGATTCGGTGGGTTTGGGACGGACCCTGAGATTCCGTGTTTCCAACAAGTATCCAAGTGGTGTCAGTGGTGCTAGTCAGCATCATCCTTTGACAGGTGTTAGGGGAAGTTTGGAACCTCTTAGGACACCAGCAGCAGTCCATCCATGCTTAGTGGGTGCTTTTTAAATTTTATTTAAAATTTTTTTGCAGTAATGCCATTGCTCAGATTTGGAGTCTCCTGTATATGGTTAAACCGAGGCTCTCAAGTGAGAGTTTGAAATTAAGTTTGGATTGTTAGCTAAAGCCTGAGAACGAGTATCTCTCTGATCAGGCTCATCTACCAGGCTTTTATGGATCTGGATCTTTCACAGATAATCTCCATAGTCAGATAATTGCTCAGAGATTAGTGGCTTGCCTGAGGTTACACAGCAACCCAGAGATGGGACTAGACTGAGAAACAAACCCAGTCACCTCTCCTCACTTAATGGGAAGAAAGCATGATGTTGCCTAGCATTAGAATTTGTAGTCAGTGTCTTTATACATTCTCCATGTTAGCAACCATGTGATACAACTACTTTGTAGGAGGTGAGAAGGGCAGGGGAACAGGACAGCAGCTGTCATGGTTAGAGGAGATAAGAGAAACTAGCATGGTCTCTGTACATACTTGGAGCCTGACGTGTTTAAGTAAGGGGACCTGTAACAAGGATGGCAGGTTTGCCATAGTTAATCAGGCTTCTGTGTTGGGGTGAGAGCGCTTCTAGGGAGCATCTCTTCTAATCCATAGAGGCCATCGGGAGTCTCCCACCCCTTCTCCAAACAGAACAAGCAGCTCATGCAACAGCTCCTTTGTCTGGTGCTGGCACAGGCATTATGGCATCCTCCTTTTTGTTCCCTCAACCCAGGTCTGCTTCAAATACTTCTGCCGGAGCTGCTGGCACTGGCGGCACAGCATGGAGGGCCTGCGCCACCACAGCCCCCTGATGCGGAACCAGAAGAACCGAGATTCCAGCTAGAGGAGCTGGCCTTGCCCAGTGGCCTGTGGCGCCTGAAGCTGGCAGGTCAGGCAAGCAGCCTGCACCACCCTGCCATTGGCGACCAGGGAGCTGGCTTCCTGAGGACAAGGGAAAATTGTAGTCACCTTTGCACTTGCTGAATCTGTCTTTGTTTCTGCACTAATTAATGCACATTGAGTTTTGTCGGGTTTTGTTTTCAGGGGGTATGCCAGGGGCAAGGACTCTCTGGCTTACCCTCCAAGCGACTCTGTAGTTTTCCCAGATTTTAGTTCCTCATTTTGCAGATGAAAAGCGGAAAAAAAAAAAAAAAAAAAAAAAACTACGTGTCCAGAAGGTATTGAGGTATTTACACGGATGCCTACACCTAGGTTTATTTATTAAAAGCGCTTTTTTACATTCCTTGCAATACTGATGGTGATGATGCGCAGGTCTCATTGGTTTCATTCTTGCAGTTGCCATACAGTGCCTTTCCATTTATTTAACCCCCACCTGAACGGCATAAACTGAGTGTTCAGCTGGTGTTTTTTACTGTAAACAATAAGGAGACTTTGCTCTTCATTTAAACCAAAATCATATTTCATATTTTACGCTCGAGGGTTTTTACCGGTTCCTTTTTACACTCCTTAAAACAGTTTTTAAGTCGTTTGGAACAAGATATTTTTTCTTTCCTGGCAGCTTTTAACATTATAGCCAATTTGTGTCTGGGGGACTGCTGGTCACTGTTTCTCACAGTTGCAAATCAAGGCATTTGCAACCAAGAAAAAAAAATGTTTTTGTTTTATTTGAAACTGGACCGGATAAACGGTGTTTGAGCGGCTGCTGTATATAGTTTTAAATGGTTTATTGCACCTCCTTAAGTTGCACTTATGTGGGGGGGTGGGGTTGATAGAAGTTTTTAATCACAAAGTCACAGGACTTTTTTCTTTTGTAACTGAGCTAAAAAGGGCTGCTTTTCAGTGGGGGCAGATGAAGGCTCACAGGAGCCCTTTCTCTTAGAGGGGACAAGTACCCTTCCCTTATATCTTTAATTTGAGGAATGTATGAGATAACAGTTGCAGTTGACTGAAATGCTACTGGAATTTGAAAACTTGACTTTTTTCTTTCCTTTTTTTTTTTGAAAAAGAAAACACAAAAACTACTTGCCCCTCCTAGGGAAGCTGTGTGCCAAAGAACCAGTGTCATAACCCCTCCCTCCTGCTGAGCTGATGTTGCATTGTTGCATATCCCAGCTACTCTGTGGGTTTTGTGAAGCTGTGTGTGAAGTCTCTACCTCATTGTAGTATATGCAGGCAAGACTGCACTCTCCTACAGATGTGTGGAGTAAGCTGTGGTGTAGTTTTTTTGGCACATAATAAACACGTTGCAGCAGAGTTCTGGTTTTGTCTCTGTGTTTGAGGTCTGGGAGCAGGGGGCTAATGGGGAGTAAGGGAGTAATGGTGCAGCCGTAGCTTGTTTCCTTGGATTTCTGTGATGGGATCCCGGCCCAGGATAATAGTGGGACCATGTGGGAGACCTGCCCTGTGAGTACTTCTTGGTCCTTTCTATCATCAAATACATTTTGGAGATGCCTCTCCAGTGGGTGGGTGCTTCTAGCCCAAATATAAAAAGTCCTCACATCTTAGCTTCTCAGGGGTCCTCACAGCCTCCAGGCCCAGCCTGGAGAATGCTGGAGGCACAGCTGCTCATGGGCCAGCAGAAGCCACTTGTTCTCAGCTTCTCCTGCAATTCTTGGCTTACTACTACTTCAGAGGCTGCTCATCCTCTTGGACCCACCCATGATGACCCAGTTCCTTTCTGAGAGGGAATGATTTGGTTTTTGCTGTTCAGAGAGCCCTGTCAGTTGAACTTTTTTAGAGCTCACAGGATCTGTGGCAAGGTCTGCTGATTTTTTTTAAATTTTTTTCCCAGTCGAGTTGGCCTGGGCCCAGCTGTTGGACTGATTCTTTGGGAACCTCCAACTTAGTCTGAGGTAGTGGGAACCCTGCATACTGAAGCTGGCTCTTGTGAGAGAGGTGCAAGAACTATTGGGCAAGGTGGGGGAGTCTTCTCACAAAATGAGAGGCCTGGCCGGGCATGGTGGCTCAGGCCTGTAATCCCAGCACTTTGGGAGGCCAAGATGGGCAGATCACGAGGTCAGGATTTTGAGACCAGCCTAGCCAACATGGTGAAACCCCGTCTCTACTGAAAATACAAAAAATTAGCCGGGTGTGGTGGCAGGTGCTTGTAATCGCAGCTACTTGGGAGGCTGAGGCAGGAGAATCACTTGAACCCGGGAGGCAGAGGTTGCAGTGAGTCCAGACCATGCCACTGCACTCCAGCCTGAGCAAGAGAGTGAGACTCCGTCTCAAAAAATAAAAGGGGAGGCCAGACTGGGCACAGTGGCTCACGCTTATAATCTCAGCACTGTGGGAGGCTGAGGCAAGAGGATTGCTTAAGCCCTAGGGGTTTGAGACCAGCCTGAGCAACATAGGGAGACACCATCTCTACAAAAAAAAATTAGCCAGGCATAGTGGTGTGTGCTTATAGTTCCAGCTACTGGGGAGGCTGAGGCAGGAGGATCATGTGAGCCCAGGAAATTGAGGCTGCAGTGAGCTGTTAACCGTGTCACTTCACTGAAGCCTGGGCAACTGAGCAAGACTATCTCAAAAAAAAAAAAAAAAAAAAAAAAGGCTGGCCGGGTGCAATGGCTCACACCTGTAATCCCAGCACTTTGGGAGGACGAGGGCGCGCGGATCACCTGAGGTCAGAAGTTGGAGACCAGCCTAGCCAAAATGGCGAAACCCCGACTCTACTAAAAAAGTATACAAAAATTAGCCGGGCGTGGTGGCGCACGCCTGTAATCCCAGCTACTTGGGAGGCTGAGGCAGGAGAATCGCTTGAACTTGGGAGGCAGAGGTTGCAGTGAGCTGATATCGCGCCACTGCACTCCAGCGTGGGCGACAGCAAGACTACGTCTCAAAAAAAAAACAAAAACAAAAACAAAAAAACAAAAAAAAAAAACCCCTGATCTTTCACTTCGGGCCTGACAGCAGCTTGATTGGAAGTTTGCTCCCGCAATTCTGAGATTCTGGCCTTTTATTTTGTCCCAGTGCTACTTTTGGTGCCAGGGTTTCCTGTCCTTTAGGTTTCCATCCCCAGTCGAGAGTCCGACTGGAGTACCTAAGGTGCGTTGAGGAATGAGGCACAGCCCTGGGCTGCTTAACTCATCCAGCCTGGCCAGCTCAGCCTTCCCCTATCAGGTAGGGGCCTAGGACTGCTGTCAGCCCAGGGAGCAGAGTTGGAAGAAGGGGCAGGACCCTACCTAGGCTGCGGCCCATCGGGGCAGCCTGAGCTGGTGGCTTCGGAAGGCCCTGGTTTGGGGATGGGTATGGCAGGAACAGCCTGAAGATGGTGGTTGGAGAAGGTGCCTGAGGTGTTGGGAGTTCTGCAGGTGAGTTGGGCCTTTCACGTCAATATTGGAGAGGTTGCTGTGTGCTAGGCGCTGTTCAAGCAGTGGGAATTAGCTAAACAAAATGACCATTACTGTCATGGAGCTCACCCCTAGTTGAGAAAAATAAGCCGAGTCACACGGCAAGTGGTAGGAAATATAAGCAGGGATAGTGAGGGAGTTATTTTACCTAAGTCTGAAGGGAAAGCCCTCTGATAAGGAAACATTTGAGCAAAGGCCCGGAAGAAATGAGATATGTCTCTCTCAGTCGCACCCTGTCTCTACCTGCCAAGTCTCTGGCCAGCGGGGACCCTGGGCGGCCGTCATCCCGCACTTCTTCATTGTTCCGCGGCCCTGGATCGCCTTCCTTTCTCGGTCCTCCCGAGGACCGGATGCCTCTCCTCTCCCTGGCGTGTGTGGAAGAGATGGACCGCTCCTACGCTAGAGCACAGCACACGGGCGGTCCCATTAAAAATCAGATGAGGGAGAGAAGCTGGCCCAAGTCAACCAAGGGGGAGTGGGGAGCGGAAAGGGAGGGGCCGTCGGGGGCGGGACACACCCCGCCCACCGGAGGGGCGCGCCGCCGCCGCTCCCGCCCCACTCCGCCAGGGGGCGCTGTGTGGCTCCCTAGTAGGCTCAGCGCGCCCGGTACCGGCGGAAGCGGCTTTCTGGCCTAAGCTTTAATAGGCCTCGCCTGTGCTTCCTGTTTCCTCTTTACCAAGGACCCGCCAACATGGTAGGTGTTTTGGGTCGAGGCCGGCATCCTCCAAAATCGTCTTCCATCTGCAGCTTCCCGCGGTCTTCAGCCCACGAAAAGAGGCCCTGGGCCGGGCGGGCGCGGCACCCTGTCAGGCTGGAGCGCAGCGGGAAGGCAGCTTCCGCGTTGAGCCCGGCGTCCGGCAGTGCCCAGCCGGGCCCCCTCTCCGGCTCATCGCAGCCGGCGGTCCCCAACCACACCCGCCGGGGCTCGGTGCGGCACTCTTCCCAAAAGGTTGCACTGGCTCGTGAGTGATCCTGTGCTCTCCACCCGCAGGGCCGCGTTCGCACCAAAACCGTGAAGAAGGCGGCCCGGGTCATCATAGAGAAGTACTACACGCGCCTGGGCAACGACTTCCACACGAACAAGCGCGTGTGCGAGGAGATCGCCATTATCCCCAGCAAGAAGCTCCGCAACAAGATAGCAGGGTGAGTCGGGGCTTCCTCGGCCTCCGGGGCCCCGCGGCCTGTTTATGTGCTCTGCCGCCCTCCGATTCTGTAAGAGACGGTACTGTGGTGGTTTCGTTAGCCTGAGCTCCCTGGTGTCCCGGAGGAGGGCTAGAGCTCTGCGTGTGCAGGATTTCCGTTGTGAACTTAGGCTTGTGTCATGACTGGCCGCGGTGACACTGGGTTGGAGGTAGCCACCGTCAGACTTCTTCCCTTGTAGCTACGTTGCTTTTAGGTGTCAGCTTTCTTTTCTTCTCCTTTTTTTTTCTTTCTTTTTTTTTTGAGACGGAATCTTGCCCTGGCGCCCAGGCTAGAGCAGTGGCGCGATCTCGGCCCACTGCAACCTCTGCCTCCCGGGTTCAAGCGATTCTCCTGCGTCAGCCTTCCGAGTAGCTGGGATCACAGGCACGTGCCACCACGCCCGCCTACTTTTTGTGTTTTTAGTAGAGACGGGTTTCACCATGTTGTCCAGGCTGGTCTCGAACTCCTGACTTCAAGCGATCCGCCCTCCCCGGCCTCCCAAATTGTTGGAATTACAGGCCTGAGCCATCGTGCCCGGCTAGGTGTCAACTTCTAATGCGTTCTTCACAGTTGCAGTTACTGTTCGAGAGATTTATAGGAATATGGTCTGGAAGAATAGTGCCAAAGTCAACGTATTAATTGCCAAATTATGTGAATTTGAAATTGGAAGAAAGAAAATGAAGGCTGTGAAGGGTCGTGAAACGGCGGGGCGGGGGAGGGGGGGAGTTGATCACTATGAAGGAGCGGTTGCATAGTGAGAAACCAAAGGGAAGGAATGCTCAGACCAGTGGAGGTTCTATGTGTAGGAGGTCCCAGGATAGTCCTCTCTCTTCTCACCGTGGAAAAGAACTAAAGCGGGTATTTATATATCCACATGTGCTGAGTACCAGGTGGGAGTTGATTTGTTTTCTCACTGTTCTCTTTGGCTATGCGTGCTTTATAGCTATGTCACCCATCTGATGAAGCGGATTCAGAGAGGCCCTGTAAGAGGTATCTCCATCAAGCTGCAGGAGGAGGAGAGAGAAAGGAGAGACAATTACGTTCCTGAGGTAAACTTTCTGGATAATTGGGCTTCTGGCTAATCCTCGAATGATAAAGCTGTGGGTTCTGGCTTCCAAAGGGACCTCAGCTGAATCTGAGACCTTTTATCCATACATTTCCTAACCAGCTGTAGGTGCCCATAGCTCCCTATCAGTTTCTTAGCCTCCATTCTGCTCTTTTGGAACTAGTTTAGTCCATATTTCATGAGAGCCCTTAATAGTGTTGATTTGATGACTGCTATCGTGGCACGTGGGTTTTTCATTTGCCCCTAATATAGTATTCCTTGGTGTAAACACAGACTTCAAGTGTTCTAAATACTGAATAGACGTATTGAGGGCTTGGGAAGGTAAGACCAGAAGAACAGGTCATCGAGGTCTGTAATACTGTAGAGACTGCTTGCCTTGTGAGAGGAACGCTATCCTTGTGCAATTCCTCTTCTCCATATTTAAGAACCTGGGGAAAGGAGGAGGAGAGGTGAGTGAGAATCTCATTGATTGGTATGTTGAGCCTATCTCGTTTGCTTCTAGGTCTCAGCCCTGGATCAGGAGATAATTGAAGTAGATCCTGACACTAAGGAAATGCTGAAGCTTTTGGTAAGTGTTTGGTGGATTCCTAAAGTGGTATTTTCCTGGTCAAAAACCATCAGTAGGTCTTACTATCCAAGGTCACCCAGCTAGTAAGTGGCAGAGTTGGGAATCCCATCTAAACTTCTAGCCACTAAATTGGACTGCTTTCATAATGGGTGTAGCGAAAGTTGTGTGCATTGAGTTTGCTCGCCTCAGGATCATGATTCCCAAATCTAGTGGCTTCCAGGATACCTTTTCTCTCTTGGCTGCTTCTGTTCTTGGTCTTATGGCTGGCTTAGGTTGCCCCCTTTGTGTCAGCCCTGGCTCTCTTCATTCTGCCTGCTTTTCTTCTGTGATGGTATTCCTTTGGTGTCTCCATGCTAACCACTCAGAAATGAGCTTTGGTCCATTTCCAGGTACATACAAGGCACTACTTAGGTAATTCAGGGTATCTTCATTGCACTTTGATGTTTCTTCTGTGACTTAATCTTAGTCATTTTGCATACTTGGGTGAAAGCATGGGCTTCAAAAATCCATTGGGCAGGCCGGGCGCGGTGGCTCAAGCCTGTAATCCCAGCACTTTGGGAGGCCGAGATGGGCGGATCACGAGGTGAGGAGATCGAGACCATCCTGGCTAACCCGGTGAAACCCCGTGTCTACTAAAAAATACAAAAAACTAGCCGGGCGAGGTGGCGGGCGCCTGCAGTCCCAGCTACTCGGGAGGAGAATGGCGTGAACCCGGGAGGCGGAGCTTGCAGTGAGCTGAGATCTGGCCACTGCACTCCAGCCTGGGCAAAAGAGAGAGACTGCCTCAAAAAGAAAAAAAATCCATTGGGCAGTTGGTGATTTTGAACAACTTCATTTTTCCTATTTTTATAGTCATTAAATGTTTAAGGCACTCAAAAAGGTAATTAGCAAAATGAACTCACATGTACTTTCTCAGCTTCAGAAAAACATCACCAGTACAGGCACAGCCCGCTGTGGATCTTTTCCTCCTGAAATAACCACTGCGCTGAATGTAGCTTTTTTGTTGAAACTAAAATGGGTTTCTGAGGACCAAATAGGACATGAAGTTCCAGGTACAAGGTGGGCCCTTTGGCTTCTTGCCCTGCCCACCAGCCTGAGCTTGTGCGAGGGCAGGGTCTGCTCTTGCCTCCCTCCCTTCTGCTTGGTGCCTTGTGTACTTGGGCCCTTCACAAATGTTGATTAGATTAGTAATAGCTCTTACCTGGGGCTGGTCCTGCAAAGCAAGTGGCACTGTGTATTCTCAAAGGGACAGAGTTTTGTCTTAGAGGACATTTGACAATGTCCAGACACATTGTTTTGGTTCTCATAGCAAGGGGATACCTGCTAACTTCTAATGGATAGAGGCCAAGGATGTTGCTAAACTTTCTGCAATGCACAGGACAGCTCCCTGTAACAAAGAATGTCCAGCCCAGGATGTCTACATTGCCAAGATTGAGAAGTGGTGTTTTTGAGTGATAGGAAGGGGTTGTGAAAACAGAAAATGATATGGTACATTGGGTAAAAGTCGTAGAGTTGTAAATGGGGAAACCACACGGTCAGGTGTGTGTTGAAGGAAGATCACACTGGAAAGGTGGGAGGCATTGAGGCCCCTGTTGGCTCTTAGAGTAAAGGGTCTTTCAGGTAGCCTCTGGACCTCCTGGAGAATGCTATGGCTCTAGGGGCAGGGAGAAGGCACTCTGTTTTCTTCTGGGGCCCACCCACAGATCTCACCAGTAACTGCCCACTGAATCCATTTTCTCGTTCCAGGACTTCGGCAGTCTGTCCAACCTGCAGGTCACTCAGCCTACAGTTGGGATGAATTTCAAAACGCCTCGGGGACCTGTTTGAATTTTTTCTGCAGTGCTATATTATTTTCAATAAATCTGGGACAACAGCCTTACCTGTGTCATCTTTGCAGTTGTGTGTGGGTACAGTAAAGGCAGGAGCTCTCAAGGTGACACATCAGCTGGCACTTGCCTGGGATTCGGGGGCTGCTTGTCTATGGGGAATGGGTTCACCGGAGTTTAGTAAACGAGCAAGGGCAAGCCTGAGCGTGTGGCTAGTGGTCTGCAGTATGAGCCTGGAAAGCTGCTTTGATAGCCCCACCCTGCTTCCCTGGGTCTTCAACCCCTGCTCGGTACACATAATTTGGGCCAACTTGCCCACATTGAGATGGTAGCAACAGGATTATCACGTGTATCAGGGTTTTACTTTTCCGTCAGTGGGAGGTAGGATAAGTGGTGTCTTTGTGTCCAGTGTGGAGCCCAGTGCCTGGAATATAAGAGAGCTCAACAAATGTGAATAAATATGGGAGAACCAATGATACTGGGATGCTTTAGCCTAACTGGAGGCAGACTCACCAGCTGCAGCCTGAGTAGACTGCCCTGGACTCTGAGCTTTAGGATCTCTGTTGAGGCTGTCAGTTCACTGCGTGTGTGTGTGTGTGTGCGTCTCAGGAGCTGGGCTGCACTTGGTTGGTTCATGCCCTTGCGTATGAGGAAAATTGGGGGCTCCGTGTTTCTCCAGTGGGAGAAGGAGCTGTTGCAGAGCCAAGCTTAGCTGGTGGATGGGTGTCCCAAGAGAGCGGGCAGGGCATGGTGGCTCACACCTGTAATCCCAGTACTTGAGACTGAGGTGGGAAGGATTGCTTGAGCCTGAGAGTTGGAGACCAGCCTGGGCAATAGCAAGACCTCCTCTCTACGAAAAAGGTAGAAAATGAGCTGGGCATGGTGATGTGCATGTGTAGTCCAGCTACTTGGGAGGCTGAGGTTGGAGGGCCGCCTAAGCCTTGGAGCTGAAAGTTGCAATGAGCCGAGATCACGCCACTGCACTACAATCTAGGCGACGAAGTGAGACCCTGTCTCAAAAAAAAAAGCAGCCAGGAAGTGGCAAAGTTCTAGCCTTAAAGTGATTCTTGCATATCTGCTTCTGTCAAGCAGATAAATACAGCAAACATTTTAAATGTGTTTTGTAACTTAATTTTTGTATAATTTTTGTATAATTTCAAACTTCCAGAGAAGTTTGAAGAATAGTACAAAGAACACCCAAGTTTACTAGTTCTACTATTTTGCTTACTATTTTGCTTCAATGGCTTTATCTTTTTTGGGGGGGTGGAGCGGTAGATAGAGTCTCACTCTGTCACCCAGGCTGGAGTGCAGTAGCACGATCTTGTCCCACTGCAGCCTCCCTAGTTCAAGTGATTCTCCTGCCTCAGTCTCCCGAGTAGCTGGGATTACAGGCGCTCACCACCACACAAAGCTAATTTTTTTTTTGAGACGGAGTTCTGCTCTTGTGGACCAGGCTGGAGTGCAATGGTGTGATCTTGGCTTACTGCAGCCTCCACTTCCCAGGTTCAGGTGATTCTCCTGCCTCAGCCTCCCGAGTAGCTGGGATTACAGGTGCCCACCACGCCCGGCTAATTTTGTATTATTGGTAGAGACAGGGTTTCTCCATGTTGGTCAGGCTGTTCTTGAACTCCCTAACTCAGGTGATTCACCTGCATCGGCCTCCCAAAGTGCTGGGATTATAGGCGTGAGCCACTGCGCCAGGCCATATATTCTTTGTGTGTGTGTGTGTGTGTGTGTATATACATATGTGTATATATATGTATACACACAGCTATTTTTTTCTGCTCCACTTGAAGTTGGAGATCTGCCCATTTGCTCCCAAATATTTCAGTGTTACTTCTAGAACAAGAACATTATTTTATATAACCACAATGCAATGATCAAAATCAGGAAATGTAACATTGATATAATACTATGTGTAATTCAGTGAGTCCTTGGTCACATTTTGATCACATTCACAAAATGTGAAAAGTTGTGATTGATTTATTTTGTCCTTCAATTTGGGCTTTAGTAGCCGGGACCACAGGTGTGGACCACCATGCCTAGCTAATTTTTAAATTTTTTGTAGACATAATGTCTCCTATGTTGCCCACGCTGGCCATGAACTCCTGGCCTCGAGTGATCCTCTCCCCTCAGCCTCCCAGAGAGCTAGGATTACACTAGCGTGTGAGCCACCACATTCAGCCATGTAATCTTGTATCTGTTAACCTGTTAGCCAACCTTTGGCTACCCCCTCCCCCTTACCCTTCCTCACCTCTAGTAAACACTATTCTAAGCAAATAGATCTTAAAGGAGACCACCCAGAACCTGGTAGACTCCTATATGGCCATTGTCAACAAGACTGTGCTGGACCTCGTGGTTGGTCTCGTGACAAGGACCATCATGCACCTCATGATCAACAATGAGCATGCACTGCCCCATGCGGGCAGGGGGCTCCTGTGGCACTGGGGATGCAGGTGGCCATGTTGGCCTGGGGGAGATGGCAAACAGCCCTCTGGGACCAGGTCCAGGGAGGGAGGCACGGTCAAGACCAGAGCTGTCCCATGGAAATATAACGTGGGACTGGGCACAGTGGCCCATGCCTGTAATCCCAGCACTTTGGGAGGCCAAGGCAGGAGGCTCGCTTGAGCACAGGAGTTCGAGACCAGCCTGGGCAACATAGTGAGTCCAGGTCTGTACACACAAATTTTAAAAATAGCCGGGCTTGGTGATGGCACATGCCTGTAGTCCTAGCTACTTGACAGGCTGACGTTGGAGGATCACTTTGAGCCCAGGAGGTTGAGGCTGCAGTAAGCAGTGATCTCACCCACTGTACTCCAACCTGGCAACAGAGTAAGATCCTATCTCCAAAAACAATTTTTAAAAACCAAGTAGACGGGTGTCCTGGTGGCATGATAGGTCCTGGGTCCTCTTCTAGATCTGTAACCTTGGACAGGTGACTTTTCCTCTGGACCTCAGTGTTCCCATCTGAGTGAGAAAAGGCAGTGGGGAGGCAGATCTTCGAGTCTAAGTGGTGTAGAAGCCACATCTGAAAAGCCATACTTGGGGCTCCAAGCCCAGCGTACAGTCCCAGCAGGGCCCGGCAGGGCGGCCAGGGCAGCACAGGCATTAGGTTCCACCCTTCTTCCCTCTTTGCCCATTCTCAGACCAAGGAATTCATCTCAGAGCTGCTGTCCAACCTGTACTCACATGGGGACTGGAACACACTGATAGAGGAGTCAGCAGAGCAGGCACAGTGGGGCGACAAGATGCTGCACATGCACCACATGCTGACGGAGGTGCTCAGCATCATTGGCGACATCAACACGACCACCGTCAACACGACCACTGTCAGCACGCCCAGGGGGGCCCGTGGATGACTCCTGGCTGCAGGTGCAGAGCATCCCGGCCAGATGCAGGTACCAGGGCTGGTCCCCACGGTCCCAAAGCCCCCCCAGCCTCCCTGACTGAGCCTGGGGGCTCTTGGAATGGGCTCCATGCCCAGGCTGGCAGACGTGGGTGCTCTCTGGAGCTGTCAGAGACGGCAGAGAGCTCGCGGTTTATGGTGGGAGCTTGGAGGGGGTCGTGTGTGGGGCTGGATTCTGAGGCGGCCAGAGGTCTAGGAACATCATCCTGGGCATGCCGTACCTGTCATGCAGTCTGAGTCATGCTGCCAGGGCAGAGTATCCAGCTCCCAGCCTGCGAGTGCCGAGAGCCAAATCCACTGCAGAGCGGTGGTGATAGTCGGGGTCCCACCTCCTCTATTTGTTGCAATCCAGTGGTGATCTAGGATAAAACCTTGAGACTCCCATGCACACGGTCATCCCACAACACACTTCACAGGCCAGGCAGGGACACAAAGCCCCCTTCCCTCCCTCCCAGGTACTATCATAGCTGCTAGTGTGTGACCGAAAGCAGGGTCCCTGGCCCCTGCTGAAGCACTACTGCCAGCCAGCGGGCTCACACACTTTGGCCTGTTGCTTCTAGGGGTCACCTGTGCTATTCAGCCAAGGGGACCACACTGCCTGCTGGCCTGGCTGAGCTCTGTCCAGTGAGCCTGCCCGCCTCTCCTGCCACAGACTCTCCCTCTTCTGCTTTTTTCTGCAGGAAGGGCCCAGCCTCACCTATGTGACCTGCAGTCCCCCAACAAGCTGAGGCTTCCCTCTTAGACTTACAAATCTATGGCCAGTGGCATCTGGCTGCCTGCCCTTCTTGCCTACCCAACGGTCCTCTCAGAGGGTCCTGGGCTTTCTGATGGCCCAGAGGGGCCTCCGGCGCTCAATCCAACCATCCATCCCTTTTAGCGTCATCATTCTGGTTCAAGCAGTATTCCTTCCCTATCAGGCCTGGTGGCTGTTGCTTGGGGCTCCCCAAGGTGAGGGGTGGCCCTGGGCCAGTGTGTTGGAAGACAGGGTAACCAGAGAAAAGGGAAGCCTGAGGGGACTGAGCATTGGTCTGAACTGTGGGTGCACTGCCTGGATGCCGTGGGAGAGGCGTATGTGGGGTGTGGAGGGCCGCTGCAGCCCCCAGGCACTACCTGTGAAGCTCCGGCTCTTCCTTCCATCTTCCTTCCTTTTCCCTTCCAGCCCCTTTTCCAGGAACCTTACTACACACCCGCACCTGCGCCCTCCCCTCCCTGGCCCTCACACAGCTCTTGCAGTGTGCCCATGCTCTGCGCTTGCCTCACCAGCAATCTGCTTCTTTCTGCTTCTCTCGAACTGCCCGCTGATCAGGTCAGGCAAGTCCATCCTGTCCTGAGAGTCCCAGGCCCTGCTTCGACCTCTAAACAGATCTCTCCTCTTCTCGGAGGCCTCCCTTTCCAAGCCTGCCTGTGCAGGTGTCCTGTGACTTGACAGTGGATCCCCAGTCCCAAAGCCTTCATCTGTGACTTAGTCTGTTGTAGTGCTGAGCTGACACTTCCAGGTGTGACCATTGCTGAAAACTTGTGTCCCCTCTGTGGTATGCCCCTGCCCTGTTCTATAAATAGCTATAAATACTCATATATATTTTTTTATATATATATATATATGCGCACACCTATACATGGCCGATGGCCTCGCCTCTAGCACTGGGAATAAGTCCCAGTGCTGTCCTTGTGGAGTCTTGTGGCCCAACAAGAGAAAGCTGTCCCCTGACATCACCCCTCCAAAGTGCCACCTCCAGTGAGCCTGTCATGTGGACAGCCAGCCCCCGCCATCCCTCCCACCCTCCACCAAGCATGGGGGTGCTGTGCAGGCAGCTGCGTGGACTGACAGTCTTCCAGTCCTGCTGTCCCTCGGCTGAGAAACCCATTTCTGGATGACGGGGAATGTGTCCTCTGCTGGCTGTGTTCTCTGTGGAGCTCAGGGGAGGGGAAAGGCCAAGCCATTTCTAGGGTGCTGTTGGGAGTGGTGAAAAGGCTACAGCCTTTCCAAGGGACACATTTCCTGGAAAGTCCCTGGAGTTTAGCTGGCTCTTATGCTGTGAAGCCGGCTCTGGCCACTAGGGGGCAGGGTCATGAACTCAGCCTGGAGGGAGACTGAGGGGCAGCCTGCACTCTGTAAGGACAGACAGAACAGGCCACCCAGTGCAGACAGGAGAGGGAGGTAGGCGGACGGAAGGGAAGACACCTGGGGTAGATGGAAGTCAGTGCCCTTGGGTGCTGGTATCTGTCTTCCCGGCCACAGCTAGATCAGGCTTCTGAGCCTGTTGGCTGTCAGGGCCGGACTGTGCCCCATAGGTGCCATGGCAGTCCCCATCAAATCCACCAGGCGTCACCAGGCAGCATAGAGGTAACAGGCCTGGAAGATCCCCAACAGCCCAGCTGGACATGCTCAGACACTCTGGGGCTCCTCGTTCTGTGGGACAAACTGCAGGACCCAGTGAGGGAAACAGGAACACACCAGGCTGAGCTGTATGGCTAAATCCATTTATTCCACAATGAAAAGCGAAATAAACAGGAGTCACATCACCAAGGGAGCCACGACCCCATCCCCGCCTCCTTCCTCTGTCCTATGCTAGGAATAAATAAGTTTCCCAGCTGCAAATAATTATTAGAACCTCCTCTCCTTATGCCAGCTCCAACCTCCACTAGGTACAATACAGGGGGTGGCCCTACCCCCCAGAATGTTACACAAATTCAATGTGTATACTGGGGAAGCGGGAGTCATCCCAGCAGCCCATGCCCTCACTTGGTCTACTGTTAGCCCCACTGTCCTGGTTCAGTTGCCTCTCTGAATAAGAAGATGGGAGCCCCCGAGGGAAAAGTTGCTTTGGTGAGAGTAGAGAGGTCATCAGGCCTCCTCCAAACAAACCAACTCCATCAGCCTCTGGTTCTTAAATAACAAGCATCATCGTCCAGAAATTCAAGGACTCAGCCGTGGTCAAGGTGGCAAAAAGTCTGTCTCCCCCCATTAGACAGGGGTCTTGTCTTGCTACCCTAGTGGTAAACGGGTAACTGGGAAGGGGTGGCAGGGACATGGTGGGGGTGAAGACTCTAGACCCACTTCTCCAGGCTTATGCTGACAGGGGCCTGCTTTTATTTATTTTTATTTATATCCTGTGACTTTTTTTTTTAATACCATAACTTCTTTTTCATAACTTTTAAAAATAACTTTTCATAAAACTTTTTTCTACTTTTTTGACACACTTTTCCACGTTTTGCCCCATAACTCTTTCATCCCATAACTCTTTCATCCCATAACTTTTAGTTTGTTCTTTTAATAAACACACTTACATAGTTACAATTTTGTAAAAATAAAAACAGATTATCTCATGCCAAGCGTGCCCAGTATTTGCACGCTATAGTATTTAATACTATAGTTTTCAAGACACACATAATTTTATTTTATTTTATTTTATTTTTATTTTATTTTATTTTTTTTTTGAGACGGAGTCTCGCTCTGTGGCCCAGGCTGGAGTGCAGTGGCCGGATCTCAGCTCACTGCAAGCTCCGCCTCCCGGGTTCCCGCCATTCTCCTGCCTCAGCCTCCCGAAAAGCTGGGACTACAGGCGCCTGCCACCTCACCCGGCTAGTTTTTTGTATTTTTTAGTAGAGACGGGGTTTCACCATATTAGCCAGGATGGTCTCGATCTTCTGACCTCGTGATCCGCCCGTCTCGGCCTCCCAAAGTGCTGGGATTACAGGCTTGAGCCACCTCGCCCGGCCCGACACACATAATTTTAAGGCAAAAACAACACTTTGCAACAATTTAATAATTTATTACATTACAGTAACATCGCAGCAGTCAACAATGCCACTTTAGGCAAATTCAATATTTCCATTATATGATTCAGTATTTCTATATATATTCTATGTTTATAAGAATTCATAAATTGGTAAAAGTCATTCTAAGAAAACTTGGCAAATAAAGCTTTGGACTGGAATTGGCATTTCTTTCTCTACTTTTCCTTCCCCTAGTTTCTTTTTTTTAAACTATAGTATTCATATTTAAAATGTTTTAACTTATTTCAAAACATTAAGATAGCAGTTACATTTTTGAATAGTTATTTAAAAATGACTAACATCAAGTTTTAGAGAAACTCTATTATGGATAGGGCTGATTTACATTTTCACATTTTCTAAAAATCAGCTTTGGTTTTAGAATTGATTTTTTTCATTTCTGGAAAACCTAAAGTTTAATCAAATACTTTAAAAATGATTATCATATATTACAATCTTTAAATAGGTATTTTGATTCTTCCTACAGAAATTCAAATTTATTCAGTTGAACTCACATTTTAGATTTTATGTTTCTGATTAACTCTAACCTTCTAATGTTGCCTTCTAAGCAAATTGAAAGCTGCCTAATACTGAATGAGGAAGAGAACAAATAGTTGGCTGAATGAGGTATTGCCAACGACTGCATGCACTTTGAAAAAAGACTTAAGTTATTGTCATAGGATTTCCATTCTTTTTAGCTTTTTCTTAAACATATGACAAAATTCCTACACAAAGAGTGGTATTTCAGTTAATATAGCACATTTATTTTTCAGACTGACATTCAGCTTAAATATGCCAGTATGTGATTTAATCCAGAGGTCCCTGATGAACACATTATTGTCGGATAGGTTACAGATGCTAAACACTATCTGAAGGTCATTCCTCGTCATTTATATGTGTCAGGTAAAAGTGAAGTGAAAGCTCTAGTTTCTCCACATGCTCCTTCGTGTCCACCTTCTCCTCCATAAAGTCGCCCTGAAGCCAAAATAATGTGGTCACATCTCAGGAACCTCCTGCCTTGCCCCACCCACACCGTTCATGGCCCCCTGCAGGGCTCGGTGGGTCTCCCCACACACAGACTCACCCCCAGTCCCTGGGCTCCTCTGGGATGAAGCCACTGGGTGAGCCAGGGGCTGGCAGCACACCCTTTGCTATTCCTGGGCATTGACTCCAGCGTCGTTCAAAAATGCCACCTGAAGGCAAGAGGTGAGTATTCTTGTAGGGATATAGGGATATACAGAGAACAACCAGGGCAGGGAGGTGGAGCGCAGCCCCTTCCCTTGGGGCTCAGAGTGTGCACCTGTTGGTCACAGGAGAAATGGTGTTTGACCACTGGCTCCCAGAAGGAGTGAAAGTCCACAGAAATCAGAAGGCAGGGAAACCAAGAACATAAGGGGATCTGGGAGGGACCACCGAGGAAGGTGACAAAGTAGGGGCAGGGAAAGTCAGGCTCACCTGACCTCCCGGCTCTCCCGGTCCTCTGGGATGTTCTGCCTGGGCTGAGGTGCCTCCTCCTCCTCACTGTCCAGATGTCCTCCTCCATCTCTTCTAGGGAGTGGCCAGAGGGGTCCTCAGACAACGCAACAAGGGAAGTACTGGGGGCCCACCTCTGCCCCCACCCTCACTGTGTAGCCCTGAGCCAGCCCATTCCCAGAGGGGAATGAGCTGTTCTGTATTATTACTTTTAAGAACCAAGATCTTGCTATACTGCCCAGGCACAGTCCCATTACCGATTGGTACGGGAGTCCTGACCTGGTTCCTTTCTGACCTGGGCCAGTTCTCCCATCCTTAGGCAACCTGATGGCCCCCTGCTCCCAGGAGGTCACCATATTGATACCGAACTTAGCGCGCACACCCGGTCGGCATAGTGACCAGCTGTCTTAAAGGTCTCTTCTAACTCCTCAATCCTATGCTGCTAACAGTCCCCCTTTCTTCCTGGGGCTCTCGCCTCTTCCTCCGAGTGGTCTCCCGTACCTTCCCCAGGGAGAGCCATGAGGCTCAGCTGGGCTTTAACTGCTGTTTCTGCTGGCTGGTAGCTTCTAGGTGCTCCTAAGAGGCCGGGAAAGAGGGTGAGAAGGCACGGAGGTTGCCAGGTTGTCCCTCTCGGGACCCTGTCCTCAGCAACTCCCTCCCCGGGGTCTCCTGCAATTTTTGGTGGGCCAGCTTAGCTACCACTTTGCCTTGAGCTTCCTGCTGCTGCAGCTGGTCCAGGAGCTGGGTCTGCAGCAGTAACTGCCTGTGCAGCACCTCCTTCTCAGGGGTCAGCTGCTGCTAAGCGACCACATACTGCTGCAGGTGACACAGGTACTGGTCTCCCTGCTGCTGCAGACTCTGAGCCTCTTGGCTCTTCAGCTCCACCTGCAGGAAGATCCTGGGCATGAGGGCATTTACTAGCTGGCTTCCGGATTCCTGGCCCATTAATAGGGTAGCAAGGGCACTGTGGGGCTCTGTGGCCTGCCCAGGCCCCTGGTCCCTTGCTCCAGGCCTAAGAGACTGCCTCCCTTGCCTGGAACCCAATGCACCCTTCCCCAGCCTCAAATCTCACATGCTTTTCCCTATCATTTAAACTGTAGGCCACAGACTGGTGGAAAACGGGGAGCCAACTGCCATCTGCCAAGTGTACTACATGCCTAATGTTCCCACGTATTATCTCATTTAATCCTCAAACCTCTGCAAGGAAAATGCTAACTTCCTTTTGAAGTTAAAGAAACAGACACTTAAAAATGCAAAGTAGTTGAATGATAACCAGTAGAACCGAGTCCGGAAACCAGTTTGAGTCTAAGGAGTCTTTTTGGTTTTTGCGTTTTGTTTTGAGACAGTGTCACTCTGTGTCCCGGGCTGGAGTCCAGTGGTGCGATCTCAGCTCACTGCAACCTCTACCTCCCAGGCTCAAATGATTCTCGTGTCTCAGCCTCCCGAGTAGCTGGGATGACAGGCATGCACCACCAGGCCTAGGTAATTTTTTTTTTTTTTGAAATTTTAGTAGAGATGAGGTTTTGCCATGTCAGTCAGGCTGGTCTCAAACTCCTGACCTCAAGTGATTCTCCTGCTTCGGCCTCCCAAAGTGGTGGACTACAGGCGTTAGCCACCACACCCAACATAAGGAGCCTCTTATACCACTGTCTCTTCCACTGTGACTGGGGGGCTCCATGCCTCTAGCTGGGATGATGATATCCAGAACTGGGGGGAGCCCAGGGCTCCCCACCTCTAAAAGTCAGAGGGGAAGATGCAAGAAACAGTAATAGGACTGCCCCAGGGTCACCTGCTCACAGGCTGCAGCTGCCTCTGGCCTGGCCCCTCCTTTCCCCAGAGGCTGGTGCCCGCCTCCCATCCCTTCTTGGATGGGTCAGAGGTTACCGTGTCTTTCAGCTCGCCCAGCGTTTTCAGCTCCTTTACTTGCGGCTCCAACTGCAGTGCGCTCTTGTTCTCATTGTTCTGGACAGAGAGAAGCAATCATTGGCCACCCACTATAGCTGGAGCCTAGAATTTGGTGTCTGCCTGCCATGGCACATGAGAAGGGTGGAAGCAGGTTAGAAAATCATCCCTCTCTCCCCAGCTACCATCCAGAGCAGGGCTCTGGCTCACAGGTGCCTTTAGAAGTACCATTTCATGTGGGGGCTACAATGCCCCACATTTTACAGGTGGGGAAACAAAGAGGCCTGGAGGAGCTAGGGAAGAGGAGTAGGCTCCCAGGTGGGGCAACCCACCAGTTCCTGGAAGCTGCTGT